AGGGGGAGCTTACAGTACCCAACACTAAATAAACGGAAAAGCTTTTCTCTTTCTTTTATTGTCTGGTATTGTAAAAGTTCTAGTCTTTTATTAGTCTATTTCAAAATTTAGTCTTAAGCTACAGAATGTATCATCTCATCTGCAGCGTAGCAATGATGACTGGCATGTAGGATGCACAGGTTGCGTTGTTGAACAAGAGGAAGCGGCGAACTTATTGTGTGAAGCGCACGGTATGTAGTGCTTGATAAATTGACTTACTTCCTCCACGTTAGATAGAGGACGATGGAGCATACAAATATGGCCACAACACGATTACAGAATACCAAAAACTGAGCATCGCCAAATCGATCTATCTGGAATCACATGAATCCGATCATAATGAGCAAAAAAATTGAAATATGAGCATATAACTTACTACATCGGAATTATGTACTGTATATCCTCTTGTGATAATGCGCTCTTGTAAAAAGCCCATCATAACTAACGTGCACTAAAACATAGACTGTTCCCAACATTCCTTAACAAAGTCGATTTAACAAACCTGGATACCAGAAAAGAAAAACAACAATGCAATGGCGTCCTTCAAAAGATTGCGTGTTTCTGATGATTTGACTTGTTTACCGCTAGAAACCTCCAATAAAAGGTTATTTTCGGTTCCTACTGCAAAAGATCGAAGAAACCGTCCGAATGCACTTCGAGGTTCAGACGCTGAAAAAATCTTGCATGAATAATTGCTCCACTTTCCACCTCGCGCAAAGTGCAATTGATATTCTTAACAATTAATGTATTTGCCTAAACGTCACATCTCACTATACAGTAGGCATCTGACAAGTGGAGATCTTTAGATGATTCAATTCAAGACCCTTTTTTAATGCCAAGCGAAGGTGGGAAGAATTGAGAAAACGCTATACGATGCGTTCGGGTTATCCACGAAACAACCGATTACGTGATATAAATAATTCCATCTCGTTTAAAGTCACTATAACGTTTCACCAATAAATGCGACATTCTTAGAACGTTCTTCGAGAATTTTCTAGCAGCAATATTGTGATTAGCAGGTAATACAAGCATAATTTTCGATTGAGCACATTTGCATACATACAAAGGCACCAAAGGTACGTATGCGATTTTGCGTTTAGAAAATTTGCAGTCTAATACTAGGTATATAGCAGCATTCCAAATGTAGAGCTATTTAAGCGTGGTTTTTGTCGAATGCCGAGATCACCGTGCAATGTGCTCAAGAAACTCAAATACGTAAGGCTAGGTACGACATTCATTGTTTACTGTTACACTACATTTTGTAAACCCTGACGTCACGACACCTTCATTAGCATTCCGTTTGATCAAGACAATCATTATTCTACTGAAGTCAGTAAAACTTTGTCGCAGCATTCTTTCCGCATATACATGCGAGTAGACTCTCAAAAAGGTGGGATAACGGCCTTTCAATACTAACAATTTTCACAGAGTTTATTCAATGGTAGGCGAAAGTCGGATTCAGATGCGCGCCCGGCGCAATGGTCAAATGATGTCCGCTTGTGGTCATTTGAGCAACGCGCATTACTGATCATACGTAAAAAA